TAAATAGCGTCTTTGGACAGCAATGCGTGTGTGCACAGCCTGTTTGCAAACAAAGGGAGGGCAGGCAGTCAGGGACAGTACAGGGTCATTTTCAAAATGAAAATCTGGATTTGTACATGTGCAAATCAACTGCAAAAACATAAAAACACTGTCTGAAGTTAATGTAATGTCTTAGAGGTAGTTTTCTCACCATGAAATTATAGAAATATGTACAGATTTAAATCATAAAACCCTCAGATTGACAATTGTAAGTTGTTGATAAAAGTTTTCACATAAGATGACAACCTACCTTTGAGTAGTCTGTCAGGGCGTTTATTAGAGCCAAGGAGGTCTGGGAGAGGAAAGTACTTGAACTGTCTGTAACCACTGAGGCAGCTCTTCTGATCAGGGAGTCATGAGAGAGGTTTTCCATTTGCTACAAATGTGGGAAAATTCAATATATTAACTTTTGCATTCAATGTCGCCAAGTACATAATATGAAGAACAAAAACCAACTCTGTCTGAAGGAACACAAGATTTGTGCAGCTCCAGTACATTGGTCTGTGGTTGGACACTAACCCACCTGTGTAAAAGGGATAGCATAAAGCCCACGGCCAACACTTAAGGGCGCTTTGCTGATGTGCTCAGTATCTGTTCGTTCTCCCAACTTCTGAACTCCAGGCTTCCTGCTGCTGAAAAATGAGGCAGAATGTTATTAGTCTTGATCAATGGTATTTCAGCTTACAGTTTGGCAGTGTTGTGAGTTGTAATCTTGTAGTTTTAATTTGCTAAATCTACAGGCAATGTCTGAGTCAAGGCAACGACATTGCTTTTGATTCATAACCTACCTTATGAAACGGATGCAGGCTGCTCCTCTCCTGAGCCCATTCTTGTTGGTCCGCAGCAGTGATAGGTCTGTCGGATTTCGCAGTAGTCCTCCGGCAGCACGGCTGGCACACACTGAACACTGACCAACAGCTTGCATTTTGCAGATTAATTAGGTCTGCTGCACTTGAAGAATGTATTTGTGATCTATGTGAAATTAGATTTACTGTTTTCCGCAATTCCAACTAATCTTGTACACTTGCTTGTCTTTGTAAAATCAGAGAAATACTCTTGTTTGAAGCTTGCAATCCTTCTGTCTGCTCGACTATGACCAACTGTCGTGTCCTGCCGGTATTTGTAAGGCCCCAGCACCATTTCATTGCGTAAAAGGTATTGATCTGTTGACTACAAATGTACGTATTAGGCGTTATCTGAAAAACACCACAGGGACAGTAATTACGTGCAGGTCTCTCTCTCTCTCTCTCTCTCTCTCTCTCTCGTGTGAGTTTGTGGGTGTATATGAAAGAGGAATAATTGAAAATTAGGCTTGAATATACCTTTTAGAGAAATGTAGACACAATTTCATCTGACCTTATTCTGAAAATTGGCTTTTTTGTCTGAAAGGTTTGGGTTAGAACTGGCTAATTATTAAGGGGTGTTAAAGTTTAGATCATTCATGAAATTAAAAGTGTCTCTGGTAGCTGTGTGAATTCTGATAAACTACCTCAAGCGATCATTGGTTGGGTCTGAAGACTACAAGTTTGAAAATGAAAAATAAAATCTGGGGTTTTGGAGCTAGAAAGAAGTGATCTTACCAGACCTCTACAGCCCGCTCCTCATCTCTGCTTAAGGCTAGGGGCTCAAGGCCACATTCGCTGCTACTAGCAGAACAGACCCAGATCTCCAACTGAGCTTTTGAGTTGCATTGTGGGTATTGTAGGCGCCAGTTAGGTAACTTCTTGCTGTGAGGCCTATTTATTGTTTTATTTTAAATAACTTCAGTCTATTGTCACATAATCTTAAACAATATTTTTTTTCTGCCAAGCACAACATACATGTTATCCTCACACAACCTATTAAGAGCATTTATATTGTGCCCTTGCTATACTTCTCTTCGTTGAACTATATTTGTCACTTCTCCATGTCATTTAATATTTTCCTAAAAAGTTTGCTGCCAAACGTTTGGCAATAGCATTTATTCTGTCTGATAGCCTGCAAATATGTTATCTGCTGGGTTGGAGTCCGCTGGGGTTCAGAGGAACAAAGTTGTTTTTGGACACAGATATTGGGCCAATCACCTGCAGCCCTGATTACTGATGCAGAACCTGCGTAAAGAGCTGACGAGCGCCACTGAGCTGCTCTCAACAGAGTTTGCCAAACAAATGAAAGCTTCTGTTTGCACAATTAGATTCAGGAGCTTTACGTTAATAATCAACCAGTCTGTTAATTACTAAGCAGGGGATACGAGACGTGCGCTCTGGAGATGTCGCACAGTATCTCACCTATAGTGCTGTTTATTGTGTGTCATTCACACTACAGAGACATCTCTTTGTGGGTTTCATCATCTTCTTTAAAACAATACTGACGTTGTACCTGCAGGTTAGCCTACTTCTCTTCTGTGATTACTGACGTCAGTAACGTGTATGTGTGTGAGACTGGAACACTGTCAAAAAAGATAATGCGGATGTACGATACATTCTGTGAAATTGGAGTCAGGTTATTTCTGGTCAAGTTTTGAAATACAAAGCCACCAAGTGTTATCAGTACTGATCTTTGTATCGACTGTCAACAACATACAACCCCCACTCTCTCTCTCTCTCTCTCTGTTCACATATGTTTAGCCAAATAAAATGTAACTGCCAAGTGCAACGTCCATCAACCCTGACTCAAACCATGAACTTACCTGATAGCAACATACGTTGATTATGTCTGACATTTATCTTAACTTTAACTAATGTTGTTGAGTTCAAAATGTTAACTTACTCATGTTGACAGCGGAGTCTTTATTGTCTCCCAAGACCAGTTTCACAAAGATACACTTTTACTGTGGGTCAGATGGCAAACTTTTTATGCTTAAAATAAGTCTGTCTGTATTGTTGTGGCTGTCAGTTGTTGAGGAAATTGATTTTACTTCACTAAAAGTAGTTATACCACAGTGTAATAGTGAAATATTCTGTTACAAGTAAAAATTCCTGCATTCAAAATGTAACTGATGTAATACAAACCTATTCATATGAAAATATCCGAACAGTACAAAAGTAAAAGCAGTCATTTTGCAGAATGACCAATTGTATTATAATAATTGCTGCATTAATGTGCACTTCAATGCTGCAGGTCGTAAATGTGGGGCTAATTTGAACTACTTAATATGCTAGAAAAATACAGCTAAAAACATTTTTTGATGATATTTTGTACTACTGATCTAAATCTGCAAAGTAACTTGTTGATAAGTATAAAGTATCATGAAAATTGTGCTTAAGAGAAACACTTGAGTAGATGTCATTAGTTACTTTCCACCACTGGTTTGACTGGCATTAGAACAAGGACAGGCCTACCGCTACAAAACAGTCTCAAATATCTTTGTGGTGCTTTCTCAAGAGTCAGCTGTGAACTTTACAACACCCATTATCAACATATACTGGGCATCTCAACACCACTCACAGTTCTTGATTCAGGCCAAAGAATGTCTTTTGGTTGTCCTGCAGTCATTGACTTCCCTTTACTGACAGCCATGTATGCAGCTCACAAACTCAGTCTCACAGTCCACCATCACACTAAAAGTGAGGGACACTGCCAAAACACTTTGCTGAATAGTTCACAAACTGCATTGTACAAGACACAGCTGGAACAACTGACCCAGTGCACTTGAAAGTGTCCACTCAGCAGAATCACCCAGTGTCAACAATCAATACGAGAGATCCCTCCTCCAGCTGGAAAAGGCTCAATTTCGTGAAACTGCTCTGTATCAGCAATTTTGTTTTTTTAAACACTTCACGGGACATTTTGCAGCTACCAGTGTGGTTTTCCAGTCGGTCCAGTAGTTATATGTACCTCCCAAAAAACTATGACCTCTTCAGTGCCAGTCAGTTTCACACAACTTCACCAGCTCAAAGTCTTCTGCACAGTGTCCACACATTTAAGCGTGATGGGTCGCGAGTGTTTGCGCGACCAAACTGTCACTCTCACTGGGACACTTGAATACAACAGAGCCATCGTTAGTGTGATTAATTACACCTGTGCCTCTCCCACCAGGACAAGTGGAAATTTCTGCTGTGAAAAAGGCCTATCGTGGTTGTAAATTTGGAATAAATGGAGAAAGATCCCGGGTTGCCAGTGTCAGCAA